ATGACATATATTCTCTTAATTCTTAAGTGTGTCCAGGGACACTAAAGTATATGAATCTGAGAGCTCCCCTGTTTAGACAGAGAGATAGATAGAAAGAACTATATTTCAGTCATTGACCAATAAAAGTACAATCGATAAAATGAACAACGCAAAAACTATCCCCTAACAAAAACCACAGATAGTCTTCAACTTACAACAGTTCATTTAGTGACCGTTCGAAGTTACAACGGCACTGAAAAAGTGACTTATGACCATTTTTCACATTTATGACCACTGCAGCATCTCCGTGATCATGTGATTTATATTTGGATGCTCAACAACTGGTTCATTTTTATGACAGTGGAGCATCCCAGGGTCATGTGATCCCCTTTTGGAGGATAAGCAGAGTCAATGGGAAAACCAAATTCACTTAACAGTCATGATACTAACTTAATAATTGCAGTGATTCACTTAACAACCGTGGCAAGAAAGGTTGTAAAATGGAATAAACTTCACTTAGCAAATATCTCACTTAGCAACAAAAATTTTGGGCTCAATTGTGGTCATAAGTTGAGAACTACTTGTACAGTATTAGCAACTATTTTTGGAAGAAGCTTACACATAATATAACAACACTTTCCTACGAGAAATCAATCAATCTTGATTATTTAGCAGGGAGTGCAAATAAAAACTGCCAGAGTGTCCCAGAAGTTTAAAATAAAAGAGGGGTAATCAGCTGCTGGTGAATGTCCCTCTAGAACTGGCAGTACAGAAGAATATGGGTTGTGGTTTCTATGGTATCCATATCACAGGGGCAGTATCTGGGTTTCCCTATATTTCCCTTGCAGGATAGCTGTGGGGAGAACCCTAAACTGGGCTGAAGATAAAGCTCTACTAAATTTGCAATATGATATAAATGAGGTTGGTTTAGATCAGGGATGTCAAACTCAATTTCATTGAGGGCTGCACCAGCATTGTGGTTGCCCTCGGGGAGCCAGGTAGGTGTGGCTGGGATGGGCATGGCCTACTGGGTAGGTGTGGCTGAGTAGGCGTGGCCAACTCGACATCACTCACATCGGGCATTGTGCAGGCCTGGGCAGGACTGGGATGGATCCTAGGGTCTCCAGTGGAGGAGGGTGGGACCAGGTGAGCGCCGGGACATGATCCACTGGAGGAGCCTCACCGTCCCTCTCAGGCCATGCAGGGGGACCCCTGGATGGTGGCACGGGCTTCCCAGAGCCCTGGGCAATGGAGGTTAAGTACCTAGCCCTCGAGTTCAGGGACCCTGCAACCCAGCCTAGCCTAGCCTAGCTCCATTTCCCCAAAGGGGCGCCCAGCTGCATTTACCTCCTCTCGAGGCTGCTACTGCTATGCTCGCTCTCCTTGGCCAGGTTGCTCATGGTGAGTGCAGGAGGGCAAAGTGTGTGGGTCAGAGGGAGGCCCACAAGGAGACCCAGCTTTGTAACCAAAGCATCCTCAGCAATAGGATGGGAAACCATCAGGGGATGGCGAAAGGGCAGCAGGGCTGCTGGTGGCCAAGTGGTAAGGCAGGACTTCCCTCAGACCTTCCCTCCCTCTCATTCCAATCTCCTTCCTTCCTTCCTCCCTCCCTCCCTCCCTTCCTCCCTCCCCTCCTTCCTTCCCTCCCTTTCTCTTTTTCATTCCCATCTCCTTCCTTCTTTCCTGTTTCCCTTCCCTCCTTCCCTCTCTCTGTGCCCAGGAAGGGACGAGGGGAGGGGGAGAGGTTGGCAGCGCTTCTCTCAAAGAATAACAGAGTTGGAAGAGACCTTTGAGGTCTTTTAGTCCAACCTCCTGCTCAAGCAGGGGACCTATACCATTCCAGAAAATGGAATATTCAATCTCTTCTTAAAAGCCTCCAGTGATAGAGCACCCACAACTTCTAAAGACAAGCCTTTTCACTGGTTAGTTGTTTTCACAAGTCCTTAGTTCTAGGCTGGTTTTCTTCTTGATTTATTTCCATCTATTATTCCCTTCTGATGCTTTGGAAAATAGGTTGACCCTCCTTTAAACAGCCCTTCACTCCCATTGTTGCTCCAGAGCCTATGCAGAGGGTCTTTGGAAACGAAGCCCTGCAACGATCAGGTGGGATGGGAACCATTCCCTTTGCTTTTGGACCGGCTCTGAAATGGGCTGGAAGGAGCGGGCCAAGGACTCCAATCTGGCTTTGCAGCAAGCAAGGGGATTGGAGACACGTGAATGCGCACCAGTCTGGTGTCTTTAAAAAACGGGTTTTTTCCCCCGCTGCCAGATTTCCGCTGCCATACTGTTTAACTTTCTTTAAAGATTACCTGTTGCAGAATGCAGATCCTTCCTGTTCTGCATCAAGTAAACTTTAAAGAAAGTTAAACTGTATGGCAGCGAAAATCCAGCAGAGGGGGAAAAATCCTGGTCTCACGTATGGGGAATCTGCTCAGCCTGCCTCCACCCATGCCTCTGCCTGCACATTCGGCCTGTTAAACCTCATTTCTAGCCAGGTGATTGATTTAGCAAAGGCACGGGCGGCACAGGCGGCACGCCACCCAAAAATAGCAGAGTCTGTGCCTGCCTTGTGCCTGCCTTGCCCACATCAGCCATCCTTTCAACGTTGCACTGCAACTGAACCAAGGCGGCTGGCCAGACACCAAAGTGTTGCTGAAAACAGGAGAATCTGTGTCTGTGCCTGCTACGTGCTCACCCGTCATGCCGTGAGGCTCATCATGCCAATTGTGCCAGTTCCACCGCTCATGGCTGCAGGCCTTGAGGCTCGTTGCACCGATCACACTGGTGCCACTGCTTGCTGCAGGAGGCCGTGAGATTCAACACGCGATCAGTGCAACAAACCTCGCAGCCTCCTGCAGCTCGTTGCAACGAGCCTCAAGGTGACAAACCCCGCCTTGGTTCAGCTGCAGTGAAATGTTCAGAGGATGGCTGATGCGGGCAAGGCAGGAACACACAGAGACTCTGCTGTTTTTTGATGGCATAGCGCCTTCGCTAAATCGATCACCTGGCTAGAAATGAGGCCTGCAATCATGAGTGGTAGAGCCGGCTCAATCGGCACGATGAGCCTCACGGCATGACGGGTGAGCTCGTAGCAGGCACAAACACAGACTGCTGTTTTCGGCAGTGCTTCAGTGTCTGGTCGGCCGCCTCGGATCAGCTGTAGTGCGCCGTGCAGTCCATGGCTGACCCTGGCAAGGCAGGCACGCACACAGACTCCGCTGCTTTCAACGGCACTTTGGTGCCTGGCCCGGCAAAGAAGAGCCGGATGAGGAGAGGCCCAGTAAAGCAGGTCATGGCCGGGCTTGACATGGTGAGGCTGGGAGGGGTGGGGCGGGATGGGGTGAGGCAAATGAGCTGCAGCTGCTGCTGCACACACCACCAGCCCCCGAGCTTGCCGTTTCCTGTGCGTGTGCCCTGAGGGCACCCAGCTGGGTTGGGGTGGGCTGGGGCTGAGGCAGTGGGAGCGGGTCCCTTGCCATTTCATGGAACAGCTCCAGGGGCCAAATCTGGGCCCTTCGCGGCCAGCCCCGGCCTATGGGCCTTGTGTTTGACATGTCTGAATTAGAATGTTTAAGTGGGGATCAGTTGTGTTTTTCCTGAAACTAGGCTCATTGCACAGAGTAAGTATTATTTTCGGTGTAAAAATGCAGTGGATTGCAGCATAAAATCCATGATCTTTAGATGTAAGAAAATGAAATTGATTAATTTTGTAGATGCTTGAAAATGCAAGAAAATAAAAGAATAGCATCTTTTATCTATATAAATGTTTAGATTTCATTGAATAGTGGTGCTTAGAAATTGAACAATACACATAGACAGCCTAAATTAACACTGTGGAATTTGATGCAACAATCAGGCTATTAAGTAAAATTACTAAAATTTAATTTATTTTTAGTTATGTGGAACTAACAAAGTAAAAAAAATATATTCTAAACAATGGGATTATACTATTACAGTTGGAGTGTCGATACCAAACTATATTTTTTTATCTTTCAACTCAGAAAATATAAAAAGAGATCTTTTGTTATTACTAAAAGTTGTATAGGAATATTATAAGTATTTATAAGTATTTGTTGAATCTAAACATTTTTTAAAAGAAGCTCAAACCAAATCCAGTATCTCCATATTTGTATAAAATCTATTAAGGGAGCAGTACAATCAGTTCTTTGTTTTGAGGAAAAATGCTTCATAGACAGAGCCAAATCCCAGTTTTATCCCATGGGAGATTATGTTCTTCTATGCAAACTAATATCTGAGATTATTTTGCACCCCAGCATACTCTTGCCCTATAAGGTATAAACAGTATGCTCATACACACTGAGAATGCAAATATAACTTCCTCCCCCCTCCCAAAAAGAAATTATTGACTGCCGGGACAAGGAGATTTACTAGATAGATGCTCTCATAGTCTTCATGATTAGAAATAGGTTTCACTAGTAAAACTAACTCACATAGTCTCTTACTCATGTTTATAATTTCTACCTTCCGCTTTACCAGCCATAAAACTCTGAATAATATGACGTATGGGGAATATAAAACTCAGACTAATCAGAAAGCAAGAAAAAGGAAGGAACGCAGATCAGGAAATTCATACCATTGTCTTTTTTTTTTTTTTTTAATCACATATAAGAGCTTATTTTAATTATTACTACTTATATTTCTATCATACTGGTCCAAGATAATATTTACAAATGCATGGAAATGCATTAATCAGTACACATACATACATTTCCAGAGCATGACATATGAATTCAACATAAGTACTTTAGTTTTTACAGATTAATTCTTTAGACCAGGGGTCCTCAACCTTGGCAACTTTAAGACTTGTGGACCTCAATTCCCAGAATTCCTCAGCCAGCAAAGCAAAGCTGGCTGAGGAATTCTGGGAGTTGAAGTCCACAAGTCTTAAAGTTGCCAAGGTTGAGGACCCCTGCTTTAGACAGATATGGGCTACTCGGAGGAGGCTTTTTGCTACTGTAAGCTTTTGGTGATGAATTGATTTCATTGTTATTCCTGACCAGGTCTCTGAACTGGTGAAAGCATCAAATATGTCCAGCCCTAAAATCGTACTGGCCATCACAGACCTCAGCTTACCTCTGGGACGTCGAGTGGCCGCCCAAGCCATTTCTGCCTTATGAGAAAATTCTTTTCGAAGCTGTTCCACAGAAGCAGGAGCTGCACCTCTAAAAGATACTGATGAAGCACATAACCAAATTAGCTTCCAGTGCAATCCAGAACTCTCCAACAGGAACTTGCCAGGATTGCTATTCCAAATACTGAACTTTTTTTTTACTTTCAAAAAGCTATATCCACAGTGCCAATAACACCTCTCTTTAAGTTGTTCATTGATATTTGCAGAGTAAAATAAAAATTCTTTTGATTTGCCTTATTTTATAAGTAACATTTTTCTCCTATTTATTTTCAATGCCCAAAAGGAGCTGCATTCTTGGCCAACATGATTGCAATCAGATATTGTTAATACAATTTTTTTGTCAATAAATTACCATTGGTTTTAAAAAAAACCAATTGCATATTTAAAAATATTGAATATATCTTTATCAAAAGTTATTTTTTAAAAATTGCTAATATGTTTGTTTTCAAGACAGACTTGAATTTAGTAGGCTATCATTCTTTTCTGTTTGCCAGCTTTCATATTTTATGGCTTTTGCAAGTCTGAATTGTTTTATAATGTTAAAGAATAACCTTTTTCTGTTTTCTCCTAAATATAGATAGCTCTCGACTTGCAACAGTTCATTCAGTGTCTGTTCGAAGTTACAACAGAAGTGTAAAAAGTGACTTATGACTGCTTTTTTACAGATGACTGTTTTAGCATCCCCATTGTCACATGATTCAAATTCAGATGCTTGGCAACTGGTTCTTATGGTTGCAGTGTCCTGGAGTCATTTGATCACCTTTTGCAACCTTCTGACAAGCAAACTTAATGAGGAAGCCAATAGATTCACTTAACAACTGTGTGACAGACCTAACAGCTGCAGTGATTCACTTAACAACTGTGGCAAGAAAGATCATAAAGAGGCAAAACCCACTCAATAACTGTCTCATTTATTACCTGTTCTCCAAAAATAAGACTACGTCTTTTTTTTTTCCCCTCCAAAAGAGGCATCAGGTCTTTTCCGCTCACCTCTGGCACTGACAGCCCCACCCAGCTAGCCCACTTTTTCTGCGGCCAAAGAGCAGGTTCATTCTGCAGCTGAGAATGGAGCTCTGACCTGTATTTCGCAGTCAGGCCTTTCCGGAAGGCCTCTGCAGCCGAGAACCAAGCTATGAATCCATAGCTCGGTTCTTGGCTGCAGTGGCCTTTGGAAAAGCCTGTCTGCAAAATGCAGGCATGGGGATGCCGCAGAAGAAGTGGGCTGGCAAGGAGAGGCCTGGCTGCCAGGTAAGTGGGTGCGGGGCACGTGGGGCAGTTCTACACCCCCACCCCAGCTTGATTTTTAGGTGTGCCTCACCTGAAAACTAGGGCTTATTTTTGGGGTAGGGCTTATATTAGGCTCACCTGCAAAATCAAGCTAGGGCTTATTTTCGGGGTAAGCCTTAATTTTGGGGAAACACAGTAATAGAAATGTTGGCTTAGTCATAAGTCGAGGACTACTGTAGAATTATGTTTAAAACATAAAGCTGCTGAATATGCTTATTTTGGATCACAAATACAGAGTTTGGTGAATTGATGAATCAATATATTGGCTTTAGAATTGATTCTGATATATATATACTGCTATCTATCTATCTATCTATCTATCTATCTATCTATCTATCTATATATATATATATATATATATATATATATATATATATATATATATATATATATATATATTGAAGACTTGAACAAAGCACACAACTACATGCCCTCTCATAAGATTTATCAAACAGAATATTTCATTCAAAATAAAAGCATGTATGCAAATAGCACAACTCCCAGTGTTGTCTGGAGGAGCGGGGAGGAGAGAATTGCTGGAGGTAGAAATAGCATCGTGCTCAGTGTTTTGAGCAGCGAAGGCAGCATTTCGGGCTGCAGGGGCAGAATGGAGGGGCAGCCATTACACTGGGAAGTTTCCCTCCATTGCTGACCATCTTCAGAAGAAAAGGAGGTGTGACTGGAAGATGAAACATGGCAAAGGCGAAGGCCTAACATCTAGGCTAAAAGGTAGACCTTACAGAGTGTCTCTTTCATCTATTTTGTTTGCAAATGCTCGCTCCTTAGAACAAAAAATGGATTACTTGAAGCTGGATTTAGCAACAAACCGGGAGGTGAGAAACTGCTGTATCATCATTGCTTCAAATCCAAAGCAAGAAAAGGCCTGCTCAATTTTCCTGCAGTGAGTTGGCTGCAGCAAGCTGTCCTGCAGCAAGTCGGCAGCAGCAAGTCGTCCTAGAACCAGGTCTATGCGCTTTTGTGTAACAGAAGAGGTTATGATTCAATATGAACAGCCCTGCATATTTAGCAACCTGCCCTATTTTATGTGACAGAATTCTTAAGATAATATGTTGAACAGGCACTTCTTATTGGCTCAACTTTACAAGACAACTGCTTTTTTCAGATGCTATATCTTACTAGTAAATAATTTAATAAGTATTTTTTTAAGTACTGTACTCCTCCCTGCCAAAGAAATAAAAAAGTATACATGAGGAGTATTGTTTTGCTCATGAGTGTCAAATTTAAAATCAGCTAGTACCTTCAGAAATTCTGAAATTTCCAAATTGTATTAGAAATTTGAGATTTTTCTCAGTCCAGTCCAAAAATCTAAAACTGAAATAAAATTTAATACCGAAGGACATTATTAGATAACCTTTATTGTCATTTTTTTTACTGTGGGCACAACGGCACAAATCAAAAGTGAAATTTAGTTGCCTGCTCTCAAAGTGAACACATACATGACACCCACCTAACATACTATAAACAACATATGTATAGAACTCACACATGTATAACAAATAAATATTAAACACTGTCCATCTTGAAAATATAATGGAAGGAGGAAACTTGAGAGTTCACAAGGTTAATACTGTATGGAATGAAACTATGGCTGAATCTGGATGTTCTGCTATGGATACCACGAAGCCTCCTCCCAGAAGGTAACAAGGAAACAGGTCATGAAGAGGATGTGTAGTGTCCCAGACAATTTTGCGGACCCTGCTTAAGCAACACTTCTGTGCTGGATGGGAGGGAGGGAACTGCCAATGATTTTGGCCATCCTCACCACTCTCTGCACCGCCTTCCTGTCTGAAGCAGTGATGCTTCCAAACCAGACTGTGAAGCTGTATGACAGGATGTTCTCAATCGTCCCCCTGTAGAAAGTGGTCAGGACGGGAAGGAAGATGTGCTTTTCTCATGTGACACAGAAAATGCAGGCACTGTCTGCCCGCTTCACCAATTTCTCACTATTGAATTAAGCCAGCCTACTCGTTAGCTGCACACCAGGAATTTGATGCTGGTAGCCATCTCTACAGTGAATCATTAATGCACACAGAAGTGTGGCTGTGCCTGCCTTTTCTGAAATCGACAATGATTTCTTTGGTTTTTCCAGTATTTAAAACTAGGTTGTTTTCCTTACACCAGTACACCAACCCCTCAAACTCCTTGTGGTAAGCGCCCTCATTGTCATCACGAATAAGGCCCACTACTGTTGTATCATCTGCGAACTTCACAATATGGTTAGGTTCAAACCTAAAGCAAGAGAAGGCCCCTTCCACAATTCTGCGGTGAGTTGTCCCGTGGCATATCAGCCACAGGAACTTGTCCCATTCTAACTAGGACCTTACTCTGTTTTGTCCCCCCCCCCCCCCAGTTATAAGTTGTCATTTTACAGCTGTAATAACTATAGATAACATGTATTGGTTTTGCTTTGAAGGACTTTTGCTGCCAAGTATACCAGCTAAAAAGAATCTCCAGCTTTGCAAATAAGAAAAGAACATGCCATGTTCTTTTCACTTCTGCTGTCTGCCTGGAGCCTGTCTGCTTCCACTGATGATGATCTGTGATAGCAGACAGACTTTGTGTTTGCAGAATGAGCTGATACTCAGCTGTTCCTTTTCCTTTTTTTCAGCAGAAGATTAGGTATAATTTGGCAGTTCCAACATCTTCCTAGCAATGAATGTATTAAGTTCCAGTCTCCATTTTGAAGCTGACCTTAAAATATAAAGTAAGTCCAGTAGACACAATATCTGACTTACGTGTTTTTTCTTCTTACTTCTCTGCTTTATCTTTGTTTTTTTCTACCACTAGTCTGATGTACTGTAGAATTCTAGTGCATTTCTAATCCTGCACAAACACACTTATATACACATATGACATTTTTGTTGGTCCTATAATAAACCTGTGGTTTGTGCATTCTGGTTTCCAACTCACTTCTTAGTACAAAACTTTTAGCAATATTCCATGATTATTGTAATAGTATCGTCTAAATTTATTTCCTATGTATGTTCAAGAACATGTCATCGTGTCCCTTGAATATAGTTCTCCTACCGCAACCCCACTTCAGTTCTTAAGACGTGAATGGGATACTCATATTACATAAATATTACATAAGTGTTGCAGGGTTTCCAGTCAGATTGTACACAATTTTGATTGGTGCATGAGATCATCATCATATTTGCTTCAGCAAGCAGGCTGGCAGGAGACAACCAGGCAGTGGCCGATTCACATGAAAAAGTTGGCCAATCCCTAAAGAGGAATACTGCTGATCTGCAATCCAAATGAGGAAGAATTGTGGTTTGAACTTGATGCAAGAGATATCCTTTGACTTGGTTAGCTTTGGGTCTAGGAAGAACACACTGCTCTTGGGCCATGAGTTGTGTTTCCTTCCTGTTTATCTGCAGAAGGAAGCAGTGGTTGGGCTTGAAATCCTGCAAAACATCATTGATAGCCTTGGGACTGGAGCTGTGCCTAAGGAATATTCTTGGGCTGACACAAAACAGCAGTTAACATTGTAATGAAAAATGCTTACTTCCATCTTACTTCAGATTTCTTGTGAATGAAATGTTTAAAAAATAGATGACTGGTCTTCTAATACTTGGCTAATGCAACTTCCTGAAGTTGGATAACTTTTGAAAGATGAAAGGGTATACATTATGCAGTACTGCAACCAGAAAAGAGAGGAAATGCAGCAGTTGATTGATAGTTGTGTTAGTTAATCAAAGGTGGTAGGATGTTTAGGATATGATTGAGGTCACATTTGCAGAAATTTAAACCTTCCATTGTTAAAGAGATAAATCTTTCTATTCATGATTGGCGAAGTTGGATATTAATGGTGAATTGGAGAAATTTTTTCCTAACTGTTAAATGAACAATGAGCTTAATTTATTCACTGAATTAAAATGCAGTATTTCATTTAATGCATGTAAATTGTACAGCAAAATAATCAAAACCTTAAGAGTGGGCAAAAAGAAGCAAAGTGTAGTAGCTAAGTAAGAATAGGAACAGTAGTGACAAAAATTAACTTCAGTAATAAAGTGCTTTT